GGCCTGAGGCCCGCCCGTCAACATCGCCTTTTTCATCATTAAACAACGCGGCTTCACACCGTGACACCCCTTCCTGGGGAGGCAGGAGGGAGAGAAAAGAAGTAAATAGCGTTTGTGGTGTTTTGCTTTTTTTAAGGTTTATTTTTTTTTAAATCTTCAACTAAAAATGCCTTTCCTGGTGTCCGGCTTGGATTTCTTGGGCTGGGCCGCGGGCAGGGGGGGGAGCCCGGGGGTTCCGAACCACGCGGGCACTTTCCTCTTGGAAGGGGGACGCGGCTCCTGCAAGGAGAGAGACTCGGGAAGAGGCCCCGAGGACACGGCCCCGACCCCCCCACCGGCAGGGTCAGCGGGAGATAAAGGGGTTTGTGCTCATCCTGCAGCCCCAGCACAGCACAGCAGCCCGGGAGCAGATTCCAGGATGCTGGAGCCAGCAGGAGGAGCTCACAGCCCCAGCACAGGAAGGACCAGACACTGTTCCCGTGGCACAACAAACAGGATTTTGCTTGGAAAGGGTTTTTCTGGAAGCTCCTCTCGGCAGCAATCACAAAGGTTGGCAAGGAAGGGTTGGGAGGGACCTTCAGGGGCATCTGGTTCAACCTTTTTAGGTGCTGCTGGACCCTGGCAAGCTGGAGGAATCCACCTGTCCTCATGTTAAATCAAATGTGAAGTGTTCCAAAGGATACTGAAGTGTCCCAGCAGCTGAGTGACACCAGACTGTGGAGTGACATCTGTGTCTGCATCCCGTTTTGGGGCTGGATGTTGATGTGAGTGCAAACTACAGGGAGTTTTACATCACGGAATGCTCAGCAGAGCCCCTATATAAACACACATGGTGTTTATAGAAACACCAGTGCAGAAACCTCACAACTCCACACCTGCAAAGGGGAGCCAAACATCAGAAGCACTTGCCACGAGCTGGCTGAGAAGGTGAGTCTGGGGGTAATTTCTGCAGGGTTATGTTCAGGCAGAGCAAAAAGCAGCAGAGTCACTGCATCCCAAGAGGATCCTGCCAGGAGAAGCTGGCTGGCAATCAAGGCCAAGGTTTGGGCACCATAAAGAACCCACAGAAGAAGCTGGGAAGAGAAGGCTCCAGGGAGACCTTAGAGCAGCTTCCAGTGCCTGAAGGGGCTCCAGGAAAGCTGGGGAGGGGCTTGGGACAAGGGCAGGGAGGGAGAGGATGAGGGGGGATGGATTAAAACTGGAAGAGGGGAGATTGAGGTGAGACATGAGGAGGAAATTCTTGAGTGTGAGGGTGGTGAGAGCCTGGCCCAGGTTGCCCAGGGAAGCTGTGGCTGCCCCATCCCTGGCAGTGTTGAAGGGCAGGTTGGATGGGGCTTGGAGCAGCCTGAGCTGGTGGGAGGTGTCCCTGCCCATGCAGGGGGTTGGATCTAGATGATCTTTGAGTTCCCTTCCAACCCAAACCAGTCTGTGATTCTATGATACTGGCTTATGAAAGATCATCACCCAAATTCATCACATCTGTGCTCTGCTCCTGGCCTCACCTTTAGCTGAGAATCAGCAAACAGCTCCTCCTCTTCAGGGCTGAGGGCAGGCTGGTTCCAGGAGGCCAGGGTGATGGGCCTGGGGCAGCCCCCTGCCCCGTGGCCACCTGGCTGGCTGTCACCCCCACCCTGCACAGCCTTCCCATGGGGCAGGAAGGAAACAGGCTGTTAGATCCTGCACAAACCAGCCTCCAGGCTGCATTTTGGAGAAGTGAATTTAGCCTGTCCCCACACCTCTGCTTAATGAGATCATGAGCTGTTTCCTCTCCCTTTCACCTCAATGATATTTGAGATGACAAACACAAGGGAAGTGGAACTTGCACTTGGGCATTATTATTTTTCCTGGGTGTGGAGAAAAACACTTCTCTCCATTGGCTCTAAAACTTGAAATGCTCCTGCTGACAAGTGCTGCATTTTCCATGTGTTTTCCCAGCAAAGCTGGCAGGTAAAAATGGCACATTCTGGTATTAACTTCTGATTTCTGAGATCTTTTTGGATCAGCTACACATCTCAGTGTTACTGAGAGCACTGCTAATGGCAGTTCATTAGCTAACTAACCCCAGACTTTCTGACAGTAAGAACATCTGTTTACCAAAGCTGGAGGCACCTCTTGCAGCTGGGGTTTCTCTGCTCCTTCCTTCAATGCTGGGTCAGTCAAACCACCCTGTGAAAGCAGCAGGAAGGTTGTTAAAATCCAAGATTTAAAAGGGGCCACAGGGAACTCTTGGAACCAGGGTATCTTCTGAAGGAGAAGTACATGAAGACTATTTGGTTTAGCTTTTGGATTTGCAGTCTACTCGTTTCTGTAGTATTAGTGTGATTTCTAATTGCATGTCATTGCTGTTTTCAGCTCCAACAGCAAGGAGGAGCAGGAAGTGTAAGCAGAGATCAGCTGGACCACCAGGATTTCAACTTCAGCAAGGAGGTCACTCAAGACCCAGACATTGTAGAAGCAACACAGCACCCCAGGATACAAGAACCATTAGGCTTGAAGAAGTGTTTGAGCCAGATTTCACCCTGCAAGGAGGAGACAGTGCAGGCAGCAGCAGGACTTAGTCTGGAATTTCCTTACCATTCCTACTGGGAGCCACTCAGTGGAGGGTGCCCTTTTGTACAAGGTGCTGGGGACTTGGAAGAGGCCAGCCCAGGGCAAAGAAAACTGGCCCAGCCTCTCTCAACCAGCAACCAAGAGCTCCTTATTCCCTCAGATCCCTCCCCAGTGGGTCAGACTCATGGCACAAGGATGCCCAGGGGTCTCAAGCACCAGAGGGACCCACAAAAGACTGTCCTACTCAAAGCTGAGGGCAAGACTGACTGTGAAGGTGAGACACAAAACAGCAAAACAAAAAGGGGCTTTTAGTCTGCTCCTGCAAAGAGGAAATAATGTTTTCACAAAAGCAGTTTTTTTACTAACCTTGGTTTTACTCCACAAGGCCTCTTCCCTGCTTGCTTCACCTGCTCCTGGTTTCTCCTGCTGCCCTTCTGGCCACACCAATGTCCTTCTGACACCTGAGCCACCCCCAGACTTCTTTCTCTCCTCTTTCTCCAACAATGCAATAGCCATTTTGATGAGGTACAGTTCAATATTTGCAGGAACAAGTTTTCTAATGGCTTGGATTTGGGTGGTGTCTTGGAAAAATTAGAAATACAATATTAGTTGGGTTTTTTTTTTTCATCCTCTCACCCCTTCTCCAGTTTTGTTCCATAAAACACTTAGATCAAAGCATGGAAAAGAAAACAATTAAAACAATGTATGGGTTTGACTCCAAAACCAGACCATGAGCACATGGGACAAATCACCACCTCATTCATGCTCACACCAATTTGAGAACACAATCTGAGAGTCTGGTTGAGTCTGTAGCTGCTGCTGAAGAGACACATGGACCTGCTGTAGGACAAGAGTCACAAAACCAGCAAGTCATCAAACTCTGCCAAGCCAAGAAATTAAAATATGGGGCAAGACTGAGCTGTAATCCTCAGAGCCACATCTCCAGCCTGGCCTGTGGCACCAGATGAGGAGGAGCTGTTTCTCCTGCCCTTCTCAGCCTCCAGCAGAGCAGTTGTCCTGAGGAAGTTCTACAGCTTCTATCCAGTGTCTTGTCTGTAGGTGCCAGTGCTTGAAGGAAAACTCTGTCAAGGCTGAAGTTTTATCCAAAACCACTTGGATAAGTGACATATTTAAGAATGATGCCTGAAGCTTTTCAACAGCCATCCCAGTGAGTGAGAGGGGTCATGAAGAAGTACCCTCCTTTCCTCATTCATGGACCACAACTGCCTTCTTATACAAGATGACCTTGAAAGGAAAGCAATGACCTTGCCTTGCCCCAGGCCTTCCAGAAATCATGGGTTCTAAAAGCAGCAGCTGAGCTATCAGTTTTTTGTTCCCTTCACCTGTGTGGCCCTGTCATGTGAAGCTCCAGGTGAGGGCTGTGCTGCTCACCTGAGGCAATGGGAGGATTGCAGATCACCTTGGAAATGATTTGGTGAACTTCAGGAGTCAAACCTGCTCGCTCCAGGTGCACAGGGTAGCCAGCTCTCATGGCCTGGAGCAGGTGAGTGCCCACCTCAGAAATGGGCAGAGATCTGCTTTCACTTATAGTCCTCTAGGGAAACAGAGACAGAAGGAACTGAGCAGAAGTGGCTGAAATCATGGTTGGGAAGGACCTCTGAGATCACCCAGTCCAACACAGCCCCCCCTAACAAACACAGCCACACACACTCCACCAGCAGACACCTCCTAAAGCCTGCCCTGAAGTGGGACATCTCCATGGTTCTTCAATACCCCCAAGGATGGGGACTCCACCACCCTTATTTCCTTGTCCAGAGCTAAGTCAGATGAGCCACCATTGCCAGGAAAGACACTGTCTCAATGTCTTCAAGCCATCCTGCCCCAGCACTGGGCAGAGGATTTAAGAGAACTTGCAAACCCTCCCAACTCTTCTAGACAAAGCTTCCCCACTGTTAAGTTTCCAAAAAGGAAGGGACTTCCTCAGGGAAGAGCTTACCACAGAGAGATTTTTCTCTTGGAATAGGACATAGGTGACATGCTCTGAGGGAGTGAGGGCTCCAGTTTGCTGCCAGGGAGATGTTCCTTTCTGATCTTCAGGTCCAGATGAGGGAAATGTGTCCATCTAAGTGAGAGGATTTAGAATAATTCAAACCTAGTGACAACCAAAGGATCATCCATCCTCCCATTCTCCCAGGTTATCTGAGAGAGTAATATCAATGGAGTCATTCATCTCTATGCAAGTTTGTTTTGACCCCAAGTCCATCTTCCCCCCAGATTAAAAAGGAGATCCAGAGAGACACCCCCATTCTGTCATCTTAATAAAACAAGCCTGGGGTTGTCCAAGGGGTGTGCAAAAAATCAGCCCCAAGGCTTGTGTCCAACAAACTGTGGTGTTCAGACACATGCTCAGTGTGGGAAACTCCCTTTGTTTGCATCTTTTGCTCAAGGCAGATTTATTGGGGAAAAAAAAACCCTAACAGGAATGCTTTTGGTCCCCATTCCTAGCTCATCATAGCTTTCTGTGAAGCAGAAAGACCTCACAGAGCTTCCCAAGCATTACAGAGGAGCAGAACTGCTGCTCTACCTGCTCTCTAGACTTGCTAAGTCCCTTTAACTGTAGGTTTACACAGAAATGAAGATCCAAAAAGGAAAACTGCTTCATAGTCCCTCTGCTCCATGGCCCCTCATCATAGTGGCTGACAAGGAGCCACTTCTACACCAAGTCTTGCAGAACATGAACTGAGAACTAACAGGAGTCTTCCCAACAGCTGGAAATCTCCAGCCAGTCTCCTAAGGAGAAACTCAGGAAACAAAGCCCTGCCCTCCAAGTCTGCTCAGTCCACATGCCATGGGGAAGGAACATTTAGGTACCTGCAGCCCCAAAGCACAGTAACTGGGTACAAGCTCTCAAGCATATGGCACCTACTGGCTGGATGGCTGGTCCTTAGCAAGATGTCCTGGATTTCCATGCTGACCACATCCATCTGGAACCTCAGCCAGGTCCCAGTGTCACGGCCAAGGAGCACAGTGAGGTTTGGGCAGCCAATTTGTACACAGGGCTCATCAGTTTTGCTGCCACACTCGTAGCTGTGACAAGGGCAACCTCTGAAGATGGCATCTGACAGCTGCAGACCAAACTGGGTCTTTCAGATTCTCCCAAAGTGGCAGAAACTTGAAGTCATACCTGCAAACCATTCACTTGGCAGAAGTCCTTGATTTCAGCCAGGAGAGGGACCAACAGGGTGGATTTTGCTTCGGATACACCATCAATTCTCTTGAGATTCTCAACAGTTGTGGGCCTGGTTTGGGATGAATAGAGAGCTCTGGAAATGTCCTGTGCCAGTTCCTGGCAAGAGTCTGAATGACATATGCTCAGACTACAGGTCTACTAGTTACAAGTTGAAAGGTGTTATTCCTGTACCCTTATAATCTCTGTAACCAAGTTGTGTTTCTGAATCTCACAGAAGCCCAACCACAGCAAGAACTCCCTGTTTGCTGGTTAATCCTTTGGAGCATCAGTTTAGCACATACACCTTTATTTCCTTTTACCTCCCAAGAGCAGCTAAGCCAAGAGTCCTCCCATGGAACAACATGCCAAAAGTAGGATTGTCCAATGCCTTTCAGTGGCTGGAGAAGGCATCTGAGAGGCATTATGTACAGATAATGCACCCAAGGTGCATTACCAACTGAGCTGCCCCACAATGCCCTCTCATACCAAGGCTGGGGGGGGGGGGAAGAACTTCTTCCCCCTCCTTTCAGTAGTTGAGAACAATAAGATGCTTACAGCAGAAGTACACGCTCCTGTGACACTGCAGGTCTCTGTACCTCCTCTGACTGCTCAGCCTAACAAGAAGCTTTGATACAAAGGCAGGCAAAGTTCTCATTTGCATGTTTTTAAATGATAACTAGAATGAAGCAGCAAGTCTGATGTCAATAACTGCTTAACTCACATCAGTCAGTGGTCTACAAGGGTATTCAAGCCAACAAAGAACCTCAGGAAAAGAGCTGCTCCTCTGCCAATGAGACCTACTCTCCCAGCTAAAGCAGAAAGGGGATTTGTGACTTGGCTTGCAACCTTCTCAGTTGGTCCAACACATGTGCATGGTGGCTTTACCTTTTCTGGGCCATCTCCACCAGGATCTTGTTGGTTGCCAAGACAGCTGGTGGAACTGCCTTCTCATTAGCTACCTTCTGTCTAGCAGTCAGCAAGTTGCCATACAGAGCAGTCTGGAAAGAAGAGAGCCAAATTCTCATGAAGCAGCTCTGGATAAAACATTAATATGAGAGGAAAAGGTATAACCTCCCTCATCTTCCCACTAATATATTAAAACAACCAAACAGTGACCCTTTAATCCATCTTAACATATTTAAATCCTCTCTGAGGACTTGTGTTCAACACATCTTGGTGATATTACCAGCTGCCCAAGCCAACTTGCTCCAACACAGGAGGACTGGGGGCTGCAGGTTGATTACAGCTCACAAATCACCTCCTCCTTCCAAGAACTTACCTCTAGTTCTTTTTCTTGGGATGAAACAACAGATCCTGGGGGCTTCAAAGGAGATTTCACTGGTGAGGACTCTGCAGCACTAAAAAAAGGTGTGAAACAAGCCCTGCATTAGATCCATTTACTCAAACTTTGCTGACCTTGTCAACAGCTGGATTCCCAAACTGTTCACAAAAGGAGGTTCTTACAAGCACTTGTACACTCATGACATTCTGACAGGACCTCCCAGGAAACACCTTCCACCTTCCCCCATGGCTGGGAACCTTTACCCTGGCCAAAAAGAGCTCCTGACTTGAGAAGCATCAGTGACAAGGACACAGCTGCTGTGCTGTCAGCAGAATTAGCTGGGACACCACCAGCAATGCCCAGAGAGCAGCACCACAGCCCATGTAGACAGGGAACAGGTACCCCCAGGGAGCCTCAACTTCTCTGTCTTCTCCAAACTAGTGGAGAGAGGCAGAAACCTCTAGGCTCCCTTACAGCCCCTGCACAAGGCACAGGCAGTTCTGCTGGCTTGAAGAGCAAGTCACAACTTGGGTCACTTTGGGGCTTGTGAATTGCATTTGCAAACTGGAAAAAACCCAACCCAACCATTAGCCACTTCTTGTTTTAATTCTCACAAGTTAAAATCCATGAGTATGAACCATCACATAGAAGACAAACTAAAACCACAGTAAAAGCACCCATGTGAAATCTGCTATTGCTCCAGTTTTATCACCATTTGCTGGTTTTCTTACTTGAGTTTGAAGTGAAACCAGTAAGTTCACACCTCAGCAACTACTCAAGCTTGCTTCACCTGGGACACTACAACTACCCACCAACTTGTCAACTTCAAAGCCTGTTAAATGTTAGAAGAGTTCAATATTTTTGAACTATTGGCAAATATTGGCAGGGTGCAGCAAGTTTTAAGCTTTTTTTTTTTAACATATTCAGCATTTTTCCATCACTTCAGATAGGAGAATGCTGGTCTAAAGGATCTTCCCACAACCAGTATTCCCTACTAACTTGTTAATTTGGGTTTCATTTCAACTATTCTTACCTGTTACTGCTTCTTGGAGAAGTTTTAGGTTTTCTCTCATATGAAAACATTTCATACAGAGACATCTAAAAAGAAAGGGTGGGGGTAAAAAAGCTGATTTACCAGCCCTTCCACTGAAGCTGCTCTTAGCAGGAAAATATTAAATCAGTGGCACCAAGATAAGATTTGCAAGGTGTCTTTTTTTGAACAGGAGCAAGGGTGTGCAAAGGGAATTGTGCTCATACAGACCTGCTTGACTGGGGACTGTGGTTTCCCTTTGGTGCCTGGGGAACTCTGTGTTGAGATGACAGCTGCAGGTTTGCTGCTGTAATGCAATTAAAAATCAATTACACCTTCAGCAAATCAGACCCAGTCATTTGTGCAGTGTCACTGCCATTAAAAAAAACCCAAACAAATCCCATTTTGATAAGCTAGCTGATTGGATCTGGGTACAGGGAGAGCTTTGGGAAACCAAAAGGTTTTTTTTCCTCCCCCTAATGATTAAAATCACCATTTTTTGTGGAAAAAACAAAACAACAAACAACAACCCTGAGGACCTCTAAGCCTGTTCATCCCAAAACCTGAACAGGGAACAAGAATCTTTTCTTCTGGAAGAAACAAAAGATGTTAGGGGGGGAAAAAAGTGGACTTTGTTTCTGAAAACACTTGAAAGCCTCCATTTTAAAGATACCAGAGGTGGAGAAAAACAGGTGAGCACCCACTTTCTGGTTTGCACCAAGCACAGAGCTTCTGCTGTTGCTCACTATTTACCAAGCAGCTTTATTTTCCTTCTTGAAGACCTGCAGGCAGGAGCTGGAAGAGCCACAATATTAGAAGGCCAAAGAAAAGTAGTACTTGGTGATTTCTTTTGTTTTTGTTTTGTTTTTAGCAGCATGAAGATAGTCTGGACACCAGAACAGGCTCCTAAAGGCAGCACTGAGGGAGGTGTTTCTGCTCATACCTGTGTGACTATCAACCCCCTGGCTTCTCTCCAGCCCATCGTGGAGATGATTAGCAATGCTAGAAAGAATCTACTGGGAAGAGTCCAACAGAGGCTACAGGGATGATGAAGGGACTGGAACACTTGTCATATGGGGAAAGGCTGAGAGACCTGGGGCTGTTTAATCTGGAGAAGAGAAGACTGAGAGGGGACCTGGTGAATGTCTGTCAATATCTGCAGGGTGGGTGTCAGGAATGAGCCAGTGTCTGTTCAGTGGTGCCTGGGACAGAATGAGGGGAAATGGCCCCAAGTGACAACATAGGAAGTTCCACCTCAACAGGAGGAGAAACTTCTTTGTTGTGAGGGTGAGGGAGCCCTGGGACAGGCTGCCCAGAGAGGTGGTGGAGTCTCCTGCTCTGGAGACTTTCAAATGTGTGACCTGTCCTGGGTGTTCCTGCTGCAGCAGGGGGCTTGGACATGATGATCTTCTGAGGTCCCTTCCAACCCCTGTGATTCTATGATTACAAGCAAAGCCTCACATTTGTGTACTCCACTGGCAAACATCTGACCACCACTGAAAATAAAACACCCCACTTGTGCAGACACACTCACCAGGACTTGAACTAGTTCAAATTTCAAAGAAATGCAGAGAGCCAGGCAAACTATCACACCTTTGTGTTGGACCAGCTCTTCTGAGAGGCTCTTATTTCATGCTCATCTTCAAGCTGATGTCAAAGTAGGTCAAGTGCATCACTGGGAAAACAAGCTCTTAGCTGCTCTATTTCTGGTTTAACTCATCAATATTAGGAAGAGCATAAATCTCAATGGCTCTTCCTCTACCATTCCTTGTCTTTAGCCAATTACTTCCTCCATGAGGGCACAAAATCCTCCCAGGCTGTCCATCATCACAGATGAAGACACACCATGTCACACTGCTTCCAGTAGCCTTCATTTTCCCCCACTAGCCTTCCCAGCTACATCACCATCCAATGAGCTCCACAATGATGAGGCACTGTCAGATTCAAGCTGTGAGCCACCTGCTCTCAGGAGGACAAGATATGCCAGGTTGGGTTAAATTCAAGCCCTCACAGAGCATCTCCTTGCCTATGTGGGATGCGGGAGCTGCTGATGGAGAGGGGCCAGGGCTGGGCAAGGAAGGGAAGGGTTGCTTGGCAGAACTAGGAAGAAGATGAGGGGTTTCTTCCTCTGTGGAAGGAGGGAAAAATCCATTTCTTCATTCCCTGTCCATCTCCTACCTCCCTAGAACACCAGGCTTTAAGGGATGGTCTTTGTCTTTCTACAGCCCTATAGGCTTCTCCTGGTTTTTCTGGAGAAGAGAAGGTTCCAGGGAGACCTTAGAGCACCTTCCAGTGCCTGAAGGGGCTCCAGGAAAGCTGGGGAGGGACTTGGGACAAGGGCAGGGAGGGAGAGGACAAAGGGGGATGGATTAAAACTGGAAGAGGGGAGATGTAGGTGAGACATGAGGAAGAAAGTCTTTGCTGTGAGGGTGGTGAGAGCCTGGCCCAGGTTGCCCAGGGAAGCTGTGGCTGCCCCATCTCTGGCAGTGTTGAAGGGCAGGTTGGATGGGGCTTGGAGCAGCCTGGGCTGGTGGGAGGTGTCCCTGCCCATGCAGGGGGTTGGAACTGGATGGTCTTGAAGGCTCTTCCAACTCAAAGCATTCTAGGATTCTATGTCACCTTTTGTACCTGCAGTCAGAAGTGTCTCTCCAGGCACCTTCCCTGACTTTTTTTATTATGATACTGCCTAAGAGAAAACTCTAGATGGAGAAACCAAGTGCAGAAGTCTCCTGTCCAGCCTAAGCCACCTCCAGAAGCAGACTTCCAAAACTGGTGACCTGATGCTAAATTAATCCAAGAAACATTCAAGACAATTATCATTACCTTCTAGCAGGTCTGTGCAGGGTAAGGTCTTCATTGGACTGGAGCAGAAGACTTGCAGTGGAAGCAGATCCAGCTTTCTGTGAGGGTGGTGAGAGCCTGGCCCAGGTTGCCCAGGGAAGCTGTGGCTGCCCCATCCCTGGCAGTGTTGAAGGGAAGGTTGGATGGGGCTTGGAGCAGCCTGGGCTGGTGGGAGGTGTCCCTGCCCATGCAGGGGGTTGGAACTGGATGGTCTTGAAGGCTCTTCCAACTCAAAGCATTCTAGGATTCTATGTCACCTTTTGTACCTGCAGTCAGAAGTGTCTCTCCAGGCACCTTCCCTGACTTTTTTTATTATGATACTGCCTAAGAGAAAACTCTAGATGGAGAAACCAAGTGCAGAAGTCTCCTGTCCAGCCTAAGCCACCTCCAGAAGCAGACTTCCAAAACTGGTGACCTGATGCTAAATTAATCCAAGAAACATTCAAGACAATTATCATTACCTTCTAGCAGGTCTGTGCAGGGTAAGGTCTTCATTGGACTGGAGCAGAAGACTTGCAGTGGAAGCAGATCCAGCTTTCTGCAGCCAGTTTCTACCCTGTAAGAAAGACACCATGTGGCTCAGCTATGGATGATTAGCTATGGATTACTCAGAGGTGCCTACAGAGGGCAGTTCCTCATCCAAAAGTACCTTCTGGTTAAGCACACATAGGGTGACAAACTTGTTATGCCCAGGGACTTCTTTGAGGTACCCTTCCATTACCAGCTGCTGGCAGAGGGATTTCCACCAGTTCTCTGGCCACTCTCTCCCACTACCAAAGAGGGGGTGTCTCCTGTATCTGTCTGGCAAACGCTGAGAAACCTGAAAGCAGGGAGAGAATTGGGTCAGACTCCTCCAGTTCTGCTGGAAGGAATTCTCCAACACCACCAGTAAGATGAAGATCTCAGAGTGTGTCCTCAAGAACATTTCTCCACAGAAGCACTTTCCTGTGAAGATACAAGGTTAAATGTTTGGCTGAAGTTCACATTCCAATAACCACATCCACAGCAGCTCAATGGTGAAAGCATCAACCACCCCTAGGGCCTCACTCATGTTGCCTGAAGAGTTCTGGAGTACTGTGTCCAGTTCTGAAGCCCCCAGCATAAAGGACATGAAGCTGTCAGAGCAGGTCCAGAGGAGGCCACAAAGGTGATCAGAGCTGGAGCAGCTCTGCTGTGGAAACAGGCTGGGAGAGTTGGGGTGTTCAGCCTGGAGAAGAGAAGGCTCCAGGGAGACCTTAGAGCACCTTCCAGTGCCTGAAGGGGCTACAGGAAAGCTGGGGAGGGACTTGGGACAAGGGCAGGGAGGGAGAGGACAAGGGGGGATGGAT